TCAAATATACATTTTAAATAACATGAAAAGAGAACATGTAACAATGAGCAGACTCCTCTTACTTGTCAATATGCAGCTGATCCAGCCCCATCATGAACTGCAGATTATCAATGATTACGTGACCCATGTCATACATGTATACTGCATGTTGCATTGTGTCAACCACAGACCTGAAGAGAAAAAGAAAAGAAACAGTCAGACAGGACACCAAGCATGACAAACTCTAGATACTAGTGTACTAGATATTATGTTTGTGTAAATCAGTATCAGACTCGAGCGCAGGGGGCTTTCAAAGTAAAAAAATAAAATAAGTGGTTTGCATGCAAGATATTTACCATTAATTCACTGTAGAGGAAAAAGGGACGCATGGCAGAACCAACAATAAGTGTATGCTGCTCAATTCCTATCCCTTTATGTAAACCTGTCACCTTAAGCTGCTTCAATTTGTACAAAATCAGACCACTCAAATGCAGCTACATTAAAAGGCAACTACAAAATTTGAAGGTGCATCCTGAACCCAAGAGTGCCATTTCATTGCTGGTCTGGAGTTGATTTAGAAGAAGCTGTGCTTGTATAGAGATTAATACGTAACAGAAATGGCTGCATTGGTCTCCAACTGGAACTACGTAGTGCAATTCATGCTTACCTACGTAAAGTATTTCCTAGTAGTGGATTATATTGTACACACTTTACATACGTGATGTAACCAGATAAAAAAAGCAAAGTAGTGAGAAGGTAAATGTGTTCAGTCATCTCACTGGCTTCCATCACCTGACCGAGACACAAATTCTAGAATAATGACACTTCACATATTCTAGTTCCTGCATGTAAGCTGTCAGAACTTTATAATCATCTATTCACGCCATTTTAAAGGGAGGTGTGTACTATAAATTAAAGAACTTAGTAAATGTTTATATGAATAATCCAACAACTCATAGAACCTATAAAACAAAATGCAGACATGATACATGCATTCTACTAAATAAAAACTCAGACTTGGCATACTGATTTGGTGTAGCACCATGATTTCATCAAAATATAATGAAAGGTCTAAAATGCACTCAAGATATAAAGGTCACAAAACACTCAAGATGGAAGAAGGAAGCTACTTGCTAAGCAACATGTTGCAGGGGATGCTCTGTGCTTCACCCCTGTCTACTACTTATACAGTAAGCTGAATATACTACTCATTTCCAATCACTCCTTTAATTTACAAAAAGAAGGTTGTAACCAGTATCAATGCAGCTATTACAAAACGTCATAAAATACTATTCACATCATCTAAATGTTGAAAAAATGATTAAAAAAATACTAAACAAAAAAACACCACACTTTTTTGAAAATACCTGATTCGGGGACTACTTTAGATTTCACTGACATTCACCTTAGCGATTTACTATTCTTTTCACATCACATCCTTCTCCATTTTTATTTTTAGAGTCGCCATTGTTACTGTATCGGTATAGATTTTAGGCTACCCTTAGATGATACAGCAGGAAAACCTCGGCACTCAAGCTGTTGTGGAGCTACAAGTCCCATGAGGCATTGTAAGACTGACAGCCACAGGTGTAACTCCCAGAGGCATGATGGGATTTTTAGTTTAGCTCTATCTGGAGTGCAGAGGTTGCCTACCCTGTGAGGCAGTGTAAATTCTGTTATTCATTGGACTCAAAGGGATAAGCCATCTAGTGGCCGATTAGTAATATCACATCTACAAAGAAGATCCTTTACTAGGGTTACAAATGTTACATGAGTGAAACAATTCACTTTGCTTGTTTATAAAAGTCGACAGAACATGTTCATGTAGAATCATTTTACATTTCATCTTTTATAGTGGTATTGGCACGGGATACAACACTTTGCATATCAGTGACTGGACACAACCAGTATACGCATGCTTACAAAATACCCAGGCAGCAAAGCGGTGTAGAGTACCCCTGAAGAATGGGGGAGATGCCCCAAAACACATTGCTTAGCAAATAGCTCAAAAGGGAGGATGGTAGAGTAGCAGTCACACAGTGCCAAATACACATGTGGATGCAATTCTGCAGGTCCATGCTGGAAGCAAAGCAGCTACATGCAGACTTAATGGCATCACAAGCTCCAAGCAGCTTCCTTGTTCCATCTAGTGTGTGTATGCAAGACATCCCACCAACTTTGTGAATGCATTTTAGACGTATTATAAAGGGATGCACAGATATCGTTTTTTCAGTATAGAGTACAGATATTTGTTTTTCGGTACTCGCCGACAGCGAGTACCGGTGCCCTGATTATCAGGAAGTCGGGCGGCGGATCATGACCCCTCGCCCGGCTTTTTGATTGCCTGTAAAGCCGGAGTTCTAGCAAAAGAACACCGGCTTCACTTGCTGAGCAATCAGGAAGCTCGGTGGCGAGTCATGAGTTGCCGTCCGGCTTCCCGATTGGTTAGGAAGCCAGGCTGCCTAGCAACAAGTGTATCTGGCTTCCTAGCCAATCATAAACCCACCGCCGGCTTCCTGATTGGAAAGGAAGTCGGCTGCATGCTCCCTTGGCACTGCCGGTCAGAGGGAGATCTCCCTCTGACCGAAGTTCCTGTATCGAAGCATTTGGGCGAGTACGAGTACTCACCCAAATACTCGTTATTGGCACCGATACTAGTATCAGTATATCCTAATTTATAACTGCAATAAACTGCAGTGATACAGCAGACTTTTCAGTCCTTCCAGAAGCTTGCTAGGCTACAACAAATCAGTACAGCACAAGAGTTTTATTGTTATCAGAATGATGTATTGTTATTCATTTTATGTTCATGTTTTCATTGTAAGCACTTATTTAGAGGCAAACTGTTTTGTAACACCATTATAAGCATTTCACTGTTTCTGTGGCCCTTTTATAACAGTTTTGGAGCATACAATATGATCCAAGGGACAATGCCAAAGAGAACTACAGTAGGATAATGATACACAGCATATCTCACTAATATACGAGATACAACAGAAAGCTTGCAACATCAGAAAAATTTAAATCCCCCCCAACAAGCTTACAAATGGCAAGGCAGTTGCTAATCTAATGTATTAAACACAAGCAGCAATGATTTTAGAGAAGGTTCGATATAGTTTTATTTATTGACAACCCTGTCTGGTGTCTTACTTGATGTTTTGCTGCCCGTGGAAGGTCATAAAATAAAGAGGCAGCTCTTCAAATCTGTCTGCCCACTCGTCATACACGTCCAGCTGTTCTTCCAGGCGCAGCATAGAGAACTGGGTCAGCATGACTTTGGCCAGACGCACGTTGTTGAGTTCAAAACTCCCCCACAAGGTGTTAATCCCCTGCATGCATAAATCCAAAGCATATTCACTCATGAATGTTGTTTTCCCACTACCGGTTGGACCTAGAAAAAAAAAGTAAAGAAAATTCAAATCAACAAGGATAATGGAAAAAGAAAACATAGCTGGGAATGTTGGCTTTTACACTGCCATCTACTGGTAATACAGTACAAGTCATACTTCTTATTCAACATGTTATTTCCACTTTTGTAAATAGGCTTTCATCCAGACAAGCTGCAGCTGTATGTGGCAAGGACCATCTTCTGGATGTCAAGTAGTACAAAACAACAAGACCAAGTTACGTGTTGCTGAATGCTAGATCTGTCATTTGTAGTATGCAATTCAGCAAGCCGACTGATGTAAAGGAAAAAATGAATCACAAAAGGGTTAAAACTAGCACAAACAAGTTTGGGATTTTTCATCCTCACCCATGCGGCCCTTAAATTGAGGCTGGACCAATTCTAGGAGCTAGGTAGCTCCTACCGTTTAAAACTTACAGCTGGTGATCAAAACTGCCCATACTCTAGGGCTGCAACAACTTATCGATAATCCATCATGAGAATTGTTAGCAACTATTCTCAATTAATTGGTGGAGGGGAGGGAGAGGATGAGAGATTTTAATGCAACCAATCAAAAAAATTTTTTTTTAAATCGGGCAACTAATCGATTATGAAAATCATCATTAAATGCAGACCATATACTATATCAATTTCGCACAGTGGGTGTCACTGTTGGCATCCCTTGATCAGTAGGTTGGAAAATCTTTAAACAGAATCAGTAGCCTATGAGCTGCCGGCTCTGTTCAGGTATTCTGACTGCAGCCATCCAAATACAATGCAAACAGCAGGAGATTCCTCTATCAATGCTTGTAAGTGGTGATGGAGGAATCTAATATTTTCTTTGTTCAGCTCAGGGACTGAACAAAGAAATATTACAATGTATGGCCAGCTACCCAACTTTTGAGGTTTCCTCTAGTTGTTATCAATGGAATGGCTTCCAAAACATCCTGCTGGCTCCTGGATTGGACAGACTGGCTTCTGAATTCCATAATACATTTGTCCAAACCTGACAAAGTACACCACAACTGATAATCACAAACAACCAGCTGTAACTCTCAGATTCCTGTGAAATCTGCACAAAGTTACGCAGCTTCCCTGCCTCCAAAATTGAAGCCCATCAACAGGCCACTCAGACACCCAGCAGTGACTATGGGAAGTAAGAAGGTTGAACATGTTTCCCCATACCCGGACGTACCTGCCATTTGAGTGGAATCCTACCACTTGAGTGGAAGCAGGGGAGCAAGATATAGATAAAAGCAAGCAATGTAATCAAGAGCTTCCTCGAAATAAACATAATTACTTTTACATTAAAGTGACTCTAAACTGATGAGTTAAATCTTAAAACTGCATTCAAGTACCTTAACTGTTAACAAAAATGTATCTTATTTGTGTAGTTCCTCAAATCATCTCTGAATTGGTGCTGATACTGTCCTTCCTTGTGGAGTGTGGCTACTTTTGTTCCCCATGGTCCCTGTGTGTGTTGTAAAGTAGTCACCGCTCCAAGCTTGCTCCCGTGATGGACTACAATCGCAATACAAATTAGTAAACTAGACATGAGATTGTAGTCCATCAAATCTTGAATGTGTTTTTATATCCCAACCTATTATATGTCATTTTATTTTACCTGTAAATATTGTCAATTCCCCTTTCCTGTGTCCTTTAAGCAGCTTATTTAATTCAGGAAATCTGGCCCACTTTACTCCTGCGACTTGCTCTGCATTTTCCAGCTGACCAAACACCTCTTCCCTGAGCTGGCGGAATGAAACAATAGATTTGTGACTGGCTGGGAGAGAGTTTTTCAGGATCTTATTTAAATTAAGTCCAAGATTAAGCGCCTGCAGAGGGCCGGGCTGATTGTCTCCTGGTCTGATCAACGAGCACCTCTTAAGATTCAGCTTTCGAGAAAATATTCTGGACGCTTCCCACGCATGCAGATCATCACCAAGCCATAGAATAATGCGTTTAAACTGTTCAAGATATGGTAAAAGGACGGGAGGCAAACAGCTTATTCCTCGTGGCAGTGATACTGTGGTTACACCTGTTGCTTGGTGTAAGGCTAAGCAATCTGTTTCCCGGCTGGTGATCACAACTTCTGTGTCCTTCTTTCCCAATACAGAAAGGCCAAACAAATTCTGATATTGTGAAGGTCGGGGGTAAAGAGTTTCAATGTAACTGACAGTATCGTCCTGGCACACAGCCGACAGTAATTTCAAACCTTTAACAGTAGCATCCCTTGGGCTATACCATGGAAACACCAAACTTTTGGTGGGTTGGAAACACTTTACCCCAAACTTCTTCAGTGTAGCGTTGGTAATTTTAGAGATGCTGAACATAGTCTTGATAAGCTGAGCATCCTCTTCTTCCAGGTCATGCAACCAAACTGCTTTGTTCCAGATTCTGGTCACCTCCATATTATTAAAGTGCCTTTCTCCATCCTCAGAATCACTGTCCCCGAAGTAGTTATCCACGCTGTCAGGGTTCAGGAAAGAACATTTCTCTTTGCTGAGCAGTTCCATGCTGTCTTTAAAGTCCTCCCAGGTACCCTCTACCAATGTTTCCTTGCAGAGAAAGCGCCCAGTGGTCTTGTCAATGAAAAGATTGTTAGCTTTGCTTAAGGTGAAAGGGCTGGGGACATGCAGGCAGCTGTAACCATCATGGAAGGAAATGTTATTTGCACGGAGGTACTGTCGGATTTCAGTCACTGTCACTGGTGTTGTGGAGGATTCCAAGACTGTTAACAGATTTTTCTGAAAGTACCTGCGGGCCAAGCCAGCAGAAGCCGGTGTCCCTTTCCTGGCAATCAAATTATTTAATCTGACCTTCCCAGCACAGGTAAAGAAATGATGTTCCAAAACCTGGGATGAAGCCCCAGGGACGAGTCTGTAGAAGGCACATCTCATCATCCTGGTTGGCAGCATAATTTCCCCAGAATAATCCTTCTACTCTTCATAGAGAGAGCTTAGCCTGTCCAATCCTCACTTGTGGATCTGGCGATAATCACGAGGTACCGCTATGACAGTGGTCTTTCAAACTCCTTGACACTACGAATATTACCACCCCACAGCCTGGTTTAGGCAATACGAATGTGGAGTGACTGATCATACCATGGTCATTCCACGCAACTGGTTGCTGTCCTTTGCCTGAAGTCAAGATGTCGGCATGCCACGGTCATTGAAGTAAAAATAAGACTTCCAGCTTGATAGACGTGATCAACTTAGCATGAAAGCATAACATGCATCAATGCCATTTACTGAAAAAAAAAAAAAACACAACAATGTCCACATTTTAGTGCAAATTTACACGCACATATTTTACAGTTTACCAGTCTTTAGATGTTGTGGTTTTCTTTTCTCAAGCCCCTCTTCCTTTATTTTCACCTGGTGATCAACCAGTAACACACTGTCTTAACGGTGACATTAAGGCCCCGTTCCCACTGCGTGATATGCAAATCGCGCGTTTGTCGCGCGATTTGCATATTGCGCGACATCGCGAGATTTGCCGCGCGATGTCGCGTTCAAGCTTGCATTGAGCAAGCTTGAATCGCGGCTAAATCCGCTCCAAAAAGGGTCCTGCTGTAGCGACACACGACCCGCGACAGCAGGACCCTTTGCCCCATTGGATTGCATTGGAGCGCGATATCGCGCGGTAATTTGCCGCGATATCGCAGGAATGACCGCGCGATAAATCGCTCAATGTGAACGGGGTCTTACTGATCGTACAGGATCAATGGTGAAGCAACATTGTTACCCTAGGACAGGAAATGTTTTAGGGCTACAGAAACCCCCCCTCCCCTCAATATAGGGGAGTTTTAGAGGTAGCAGGTAACAATGCTAAATATAGGGGAGTCCTAGAGGTAACAATGCTAAATGATAGTCAGCATTGAGTACAGGAACTTATAAGCTAACAAGATTTCTGGCAGGATCAGCAAATGTAATATGCACTTTAACAGATTTAACAAAATCCTTCAATGCTATATTTAATGGTCCGAAAGGAGGCAATAGAGGATCATACACACACACTTTAAGTTTGTCTCAGTTATCACTACCCTGCGTCTCCCATCACTAACAGTTCCATCTTTGGCCTTGATCTGTCTTCTTCCGTCATTAACCCTACTTTGCCTCTGTTATTACAGTCCTGCTATGTCGTTTCCAACTGCCTTGATCAACTCCATAACATCTAGAGCTAACAAATGGCCTCAATTAGGGCAGTCAGCAAAGGTTCCATCCTGCAGTGAAACTGATGTAGTGTTTGCTCACCTGTCATTATAGTGGTGTCTGCCAAAACGAGGGCCGTCTCCCATTCAGACACTTCTGACATGACCCAAAATCTGAAAGCTCAAACCATCCCGCACAGATTTTTATGAGCGCATATGTGAAGGTGGTTGCGCAGCTAATCCAGGTGCATTGCACGGTTTACTTTTTTTTGTTAGAAGTTGAGTGTAACAAGTGACCATAATTATCAATTTTGTTGAGATCCACCCCCCAAACTGATTGACAGCTGGCTCTGGCAGAGCCAGCTGTGCCTGCCCCCTCCCTCCAATCAGCAATGGAGGAACGGAGGGGAGGAATCCCTGCGGTGATAGTCACCTCTCTCTGCAGGGAGAAGTTCGAGAACTGACCAATCAGCGGTCTGTGATCTCTCAGTCCTGGATCTATAGCCGGTAGGGATGCACCGATACAAGCATCGGTATCTGCCGCAATAAAGAGTATTTGCATGAGTACTCGTGCAAATACTCCAATTCATAAAACGAGTACCTGTGCCGCGTCCGCCATCTTCAGGGACCCGAATCCGCCGCACACAGGACCTCCATCGCGTCTTCAATGAGGCAAAATGGCCGCGACCTCCTCTGTCATGTGCTCCATTCTGACCTCTTCTCCCGCTGATTGGCCGATTGGATGATTGACAGGCTTCCCTCACCAGTCAGGAGTGACTGGTGAGGAAGCCTGTCATCATCCAATCAGCGGGAGAAGAGGTCAGGATGCAGCAGATGACTAGGCTGTGACACGGAGTGGCTGAAGCAGACGGAGAAGACGACACAGCAGGTTAGTACTGCTGCACCTCATGGGGCTGGGCACAAAAATGCTGTTTACCGGCATATATCATTTATAAAAAAGAAAATAACTATGTACTATGTAGACTAACAAAGGCTTGTATCCCCCTAGTGGTGAAAATAGATGAGCACATGTCCAGAACACTATATAGTGTGGCACAGCTATATGCAATTCTGCATACCTGCCTTTATATTATAAGAAAATTTAATAATAATATAAAGCCAGTTAAAAAAGTATCGGTACTCGTACTTAAAAAAGTGGTATCGGTGCATCCCTAATAGCCGGTGTGAGACAGTTGCAGTGTCACACATCATCTCTAATTCAGTGGATGAGTATTTCTCTCTCGCTCTCCATAATTCTCCTTTAATCAAGGTGACAAGCAGACTCTGTCCGTCACCTTCTTAAAGAGGGCCGCCGTGCCTTTGAGATGCTGGTTTTTGAGTCTCCAGGAAAGTTATTATTCTGGATCTTTCCTCTAACATTTTATGTGACATGACCAGTAAAGAAAGCCTCAAGGGAAGTTGGGGGAGGGAAGCCTGTGTCAGGGGGCTCTGCACTGCTCACAGATCTAAGTGGAGATGAAAGCATGGTGAGCAGACAACACATTACTATATGATCAAAACTGATCTCTCTGAAGGACACATCCCATGTGCTGTCTGAGGTGACATTTTATAGGCAGACAACATATATTATACTGCATATATTTCATGTTTAGAGTGACATGTAATGGAACAATATAACCGCCAAGTGTCAGATGTCCCCTGCAGCCCCAGGTACTGGAACTATAACATGGGAACTATAACATGGCAGAAGGAGCAGAGCAGTGGACATTAGTGCCACTTGTAAAGCACCATTATAACCAGCCTGTAATGTCTTTGCTGTCCTGTAATGTCCTTGTTGTCATTGTACAGCACAGTATCGCAGTCACAGCAGGTTTGTCCTAGGAAACCCCAATGTCACTTGTGTGTACTAACATGCCTTCCACTCCAAGTCTTCCAACGCCACCCCTCTGCTTTGTGCCTTTCATAACTACTAGACTCTGCTCACCGTTTCCCATTCATGTGTTCTGCTATACACACCACGTGTTTACATACCAGACACAGAGCATTCCTCTGCAAATCTCCACAACCCCGCCATGCTCTCCTAACATAACTTCCGGATCCGGTAGAGAGAGCGAGGAAAAGGCATGCTCGCATCTTTTTCGACGTGCGCGTCTCCGCAGCTCAGTAAACCTGGCGCATGCGCAGTGCTCTCATCCATGGTCCGCTGTGAGTTGGCACGTGCTGATGGTCACGTGATGCTAATCGGCTTCAGGCTGAGCTTTCAGGAGGACATGTGGAGTGGCTGCTATGTCCTCAACAGCAAAGAATAAACTTGGGGGGTTAACACTTCCCTACTCTACCCAAAACTAACAAAAAAAAAGTTATGGCTATACCTTCATTTTAATACATTTTCGGCCATGAGCCCTACTTACATATTAAAGTGAACCATACCAGCAGTGAAGAGAAGTAGTAACTGGAAGCTTGAAGAAAAACTCCACTTTCATGAAAAACAAAGCACCATAAAAAATTGCTACACCAGCTATTCTGTTATTTAGGCTCCATTCACATATGGCGTTTGTGTTGTCACGAAAACGTGCAGACCTTAACATGCGCGCGGATTCCGCACATTTGCGGCTATTATTATAGCCGGAACACGCGGAATCCGTCTGCAAAATTGTGATCTGGCTTTTTTGCGGGACACGGTTTTGTCCCGCCGGATGCCTCCCTAGTGTGAACAATGCACATTGGAATGCATTGCTTGTTTTATGTTTAGCCTGCTTCTGCGCGTACAAATATGCATGGAAAACCGCTAATGTGTGAATGGAACCTCACAGAGTTTGGAGAAGGCAGGAGAAGTGAACAATCTAGGACAACATAGGTGATCTGGAGAAATTCTCCAATTCAGCTCACTTTCCAGTTCAGCGATGTTGTCCTAGATTGTTGACTTCTGCCTTCTCCAAACTCTTAACCTTTTTGTGAATAAAAATGACATTTCCGTTTCAATCTGAAGCCACTGTAATTTCCAAAACTGTCAATGCAATATGGGAGCCTGGAGGTGTTTTGTGCACAGTTGGTGTATAAAACATCCCTGTACTAAGATACAGGACACATTTTAGACATATCTTGGAAAAGGAATCTCAGTTTCGGTGAGAGAATCTCTGAGGGTCCGTTCACACCATAACTTTGCTTTAATTGCACATTACCGTGCGTTTAATGCATGCTATTGCACAACGCATCTTGCGTGCGTTACCAATTGCTAGGTGCGTTGCATTGCCATTCATGTGAATGGCACCCCAATGCCCCTCCCGGTGGCTGTGTGTTGCATGGCAATGCGCAGTACTGTAATATTCTGCTGTGAAAAAAAGAAATGCATGCATTATTTTTTTCCACGCATATGAAGCTGTTACTGACTACAGAGATGCAACATGACATAGTCAGAGATTAGACAAAAACAAACATTTCCCAGCACACGAACCAGCTAGTCTGCTACCAAAAAAAAACAAATGACACTGTCTACCCAGATAGCAAGGATAACTTGCCACAAACTTGTGCCAGGGTTAAATTGTAATTCTTGTTAACTTGCTGCACATATTCCTGGCAAGTTGTAGACTTGCAGAACACTTGCAACACAAGTTCTAGTTGACACTTTTTGAGTTTGTAGTAAATTTGCTTGGCAAGTCTACAGCAAGAGTCCTGCAGGACTTAAGGTGCCCACACACCTTATGATAATCGCGGGAAATCCCACGATCGTACGATTATCGTAAGGTGTGTGGGAGCCGTGCGACCTCTGCTACTGTAAGGTCGCACGAC